ATTTATGAATCATAATATTTAGACTATTTCTTCAAAGCTAAGTTTTCAAGTGATTGGCCAGCGTAGCAGATGCAAGATCTACACCGCAGTCTATAGCACATCGGCAACGCCACGCAGCTCACTGATTTTAGCTGAGAAAATACGACTACTTGACATTCAAGATCGTTTTAGTAGTGCTTAAGCCGTCGTGGAGTCCAGTCTACACTTCAACTCTCCTTTCTGTCGCCTGCTCTTCTCATTGTACGTCATCTATGTTTTGCTGTAAACGAATCTTTGGGTTTCAAAGATTAGATAGATTTCGCAGACCCGAACTTCGCATCCAGATAGCGTCCAAGCCCTCTTCAAGCAGAGCGTATCTTAAACTGAGCGATGGCAGTCCACATCTCTGCTATATGGCAAAGCACCAGGAGGACTGTTGATAAAAAAAGATGAGCTGACTGAGCTCACTGAGTTGCCGACTACACGGCTAACGAGAATGGCCGAGTTGCGGCTTGGCTCGACTTCATTAGTGACATATTCGATCGCAATCCCATATTGGAGCTGCTTGCGAGCATGGCATCTCAACGAGTTGGCATCACAACGCGGCGATGTTCATTCTAATCAACACGGAAATTTTGAAGAATTCACTCTTTCCATAACGGGAACTCAGCACCATCGCTCTCTAAATCTGATACGCGGAGTTCTCGATCGTCGCAGAGTCTCAAGCCAAAACGTTTATACGCAAGCGAAACATCGGTCAGTGCGTACACCAACCACTCACGCTGCCCTCAAGTAAGGAATAATCAGCTAGCATCTCTGATTACCGTGAGAAATATCAAAGCAACAGGCAGGTCATATATAGTTGGATGGTTAGTGGTTAGCATGCGCTCCTGGTATGAGTTAAAACTGAGTATAACTCTTACCCACGACTGATTATTTTGACTACCATCAATTTTCATTGAATGTCGTTACTTTTTACTTTATTTCCTATCATATTCATATTTATTTCATAACTCTGGTTTTTTGCGTATAGAAGAAATGTTAATAGTCAATTTGTGTCTAACACAGGTTATGTGCTACAGCGTGCCTTCTCTACATTATAACAAATGAAATAGTAGATCTGAAATGAAGTGAATGTCAAGATCCCAACTTTTAATTCTATTTAGATAATCTACTTCAAGAGCTGATGTGGTGTGAAAGGCACCTTAAAAATGATGGCAGTGCAGACGCTGAAGAGGTTTTAAAAAATGTGAAACGGTGAGTTTTTCAATGTCGACCAAGTCATGTTATCTGAAGTCATTACGGTACTACTATAAACTATAAAACTACTTGGAAATTCATGTGGACGATGAATTTCGTGTGGTATCAATTGTAATATTCTTCTTACAGGCAGCCAATTACTTGGATATATCACACATGCTTGATGACGAATGTAAGAGGGCTGCTCAGAAAATAAAGGTATAATTAGCTATAATTGTTTATGCATATATGTATATATATATATACATATATGTATAATAAGTTTATGCACACACATGTATATGTAGTCCATGTAATACACGCAACATACATATGTGAATCTATGTATATAAGACAGAAAGAGAAAGAGAGCAAGGTGAGAGAAAATGAACAGTTGGCATTTGGGTAGGAGTACATAATTCTTTGTTCTCATGGTGCTCTTACCATTGTTGTGCTACTTGTGAGAACAATCCACATACACTAGGTCGTTCCATAAGTTCTGACACTAGAACAATAAACACCAAATTTTAAGGATAATTTGTAAGAATGTTCGAAGCCTTAAAGAGGTTGGTACGCCATAGCCATACACGTGCCTCGGAGGTGTCGCATCCCTCGTCAGCGGCCCATACCTCACATTAAGCTCGGCATTGTAGCAAGAAGGGAACGTATGTATCAATATCTTTGAATCAATTTGTACCTACCAGCAGCGATCCATCGACTGAAAAGTGGTGGTAGCACATCGCCATTGTACATTGTGCTGTAGCCACATACGCCTCCCTCCTTGTTACAATGCTCGGTTAAATGTGGGGCGTGGGCTACTGCAGAGGAGAGCGAAACTTCCAAATCACGTGTACGCCTCGAGCGTGTCAACCTCGCTAAGGCTTTGAACATTCTCAAAAAATTATGATAAATGTTCATTACGAGGTTTTAAAAACATTCGATGCTAGAAGCACCGAATTTATTGACTAGAACTAATTGAAGTTGAATGATTATAGTTTCGTTTTAACGCACATTTTCCTGTTAACATTTGGTACACAGCTCGCCTACACTTTCTCTGTTTTGGAGCTTTTTCATGAGCAATCACGCTTGTTGCCCCTACACGACTGGTGCCTAGAGAAAATGATAATGAAGCGACGGGCAAGATTAATGGAGCTAGATGCGACGATAAAAAAAGGATTAAGTTCTCGGATCTGATCAATCCGTGAGGAATGGACCATGCATTCGACTTCAATTTTTTAAACTTCGTTTGAGGTGATTGAATGCACATTTGGCCTTTACAACGACTCGCGGTGGCCTGCCACTGAATCGAGTCAGTGCTGCTTATCCTCCCAGACAAGCCTGAGACCTTCCTGGCACCAGTTTAACGACCCCGCAGGGATGGATGGCTTGGTGAGCCATGAGCGCGAGATCGAAGCATTGACCTCGTATGCGACGCAGAGCACCTCTAACCACTGCGCCACATGAGACGATACGGTTGCATAAAAGAGGACTAAGATGTGGTTTGCGATTGGAGAGAACAGTCCAGGGGATCAGTCGTGCTCGGAACGTTCACGGAAAGTTGATTGTCAAACAACTCTCGAGATGCTCGGAGAGAGATCTCAGTAGCATAGTGGATGCTAGCTGAAGAGTTTGAGCAATTCCAGACGCTTCTCCTCCTGAGCTTCTGTCAGTTCATATCGCACCCATTATGACTTCACTCAGACTTCACTCACTTCACGCTATGTCTTGGCGATGATCTTGCAGCAACAACCGAACTCTTCGGCCGGCCCTTTTCTTATCATTGAGGAATTGCTTCAGCCACCTCAAAGGCAGCTTGATGATCAATTCCTTGTTGGCAGACCGAACGCGACTGATTCTCCAGCTTTGAACTGCGCATTCCACGCCTTGGCTGTCCTTCTTGCATGTATAATCGGCCAGGCTCTGTTGATCTTTCGCGCCGCTCCACTAACATTTTGCCCTACGCGCCATTCGTGTAATAGTAGGCAGCGAGTTTGTTCTCAAGACAGCTCCACCTGAAAGCAGGTATAGGCAAGTTGTTACAGAAATTTTGTCAGGAAAATGAACAGCTAAACGATACCAAAATTACGCAGTTCCAACTACTTCTGGATAATAAGTTTAGTATTTGTTGCTCTAGTCTAGTAGTAAAACTTGTGGTAGGACCTAATAATTCCGACACTGATTTGGTGAGAGATAAGGTTAATTAGCACTTTAGGCACGACAGACCCGCGGTGCTGGTCTCGTCCTCTGCCACGCTCGTCGGACAATCCGTATCCGAGTTAGTGACCCCATTAACCGGAAAGACAGCTGCTGGTTCACATTCTTACCATGACGCTTCAGCGCACATTTGTAGGTGCCAATCTTTGGTGTCGATTAGACTCATAGTTTCTTCTATAGCGCAATAATTATGGCAAAAAGGAGGCTCAGTTGTTAACATTTTGCTACTTTTTGGTGCGAAAAGTAAATCATGAACTAGCAACGCATATCCAACTTTTTTCGCATCTCTTTCAACGACGTTATAAAAGTGGGATTCGGGATTATATTTTATATAATGTAAGGTAGTGTAAAGCAGTTTATGGCATGCCACATTGATATCTCGCGCAACAAACAGCGAATTGCCCATTAAATGAGACACTCTAAACGACAATGTGATAGTTTTTTTTTTACTAATAGTAGCATTTATGTGGTGATAATAAGGCGCATATTGAACTGAAGCCAAAAAAAAACTACAGTGAAGCGTCACGAGAGGGCATCGAACCAGCAACCTCTTTCCCTAAGTCACGCACCACCACCTGCTTGGCACTATATACTGCCCGTCGCTGAGCAGCGGCGACGCGGGGCTAACACCGTGATGTGTCCTAGTATCAAGATACTCCGGATCTTCTCATTTCAGATTGATTCATATATTGGCTTTGTATGCCGTCTTAAATAGTACTGCTTTGTTGAAAATTTAGTACCTGTTCGACTCTACAGTGTCCAATCAGTCACAGCGATACATTGAAATCAAAATTTATTAAGTAATTAGCGACCAGTAAAGACTCTGCGTGCTAATGTTTAAAGGTCGTTTTTCTTGATTAATTATCAACTCGTAAAGTGAAAAAGGGTCTTTGCGTGGGCTTACATGAGAATCACGTTAATGCGAAATAAGAAAAATTGGAGTTGAAATTTCATCAAGATCAATGAAATCCTGCTGTCTACTGATTAATCCTTTGGGATTCTAGCGCAATCAAATCTGTCTCAAAATTGCTTCCGCTGTGAGAAAATCCAAATTAATCATTCCAAGCGACTTGTAAATTTTAAGGCAACTTTTTGGTAAAGTTAACCTTTTTTAAAAATGTTATCTTTTAACTTCTATCGATGCTTGATATCCAACCAATTGGTATGCAGTCCGCTTCTTACAGATTCATTTTGGACAATCGCTCGATTAGCGATGACTTTACGCCGACTACGCTTGAATTGGAGAACGGTTTATAGGGCTGGTCTCTTTCAAAGCGCTATTTCTTGGCATAATGGAAGCTCTTTCTTGTATTATTTTTTCACCGCTTGTATATTAAATAGAATTAAAGTGACATTTGACTATTCAAGTTCGCCATACAAGCACAAACATATATGTATATATTAACATGTACACGCTTTTAAACCCTTTATTGCTCATTGTGCAGCTTTTTTATCCCTATTGTTTTGCTGATTATGTACCATTAGTGTCACTTTCGAGTCTACTACTAGTAACCTGAAGGTGGCGCCTTATTTCAACTCGCTTATTCTTTTCTATGTTGTTATAAAAGGCCTCGGTGGTGTAGTGGTAACGCGCGCCCCCAATATGGGTGAAGCGCTGGTTCAACTCCACCTATGATTTGAAGTTTTGCTCTCAGCATCCTTGGACATGTTGTTGTTTATGTATTATATAAACTTGTGCTTTCAATCTGTTATGCTTTACATCTTCATTACTGCACTGCATTAAGACCTCATTAAGGGTTTATCTAAACAAGAAAGCCGTAATAGACCACACAACTTACTGATTTTTCAATCACCAATGACATGAGATGGATTAAATTCAAGTAGTTGTGGCCACAAGTGCTAAAAATTAGAGGTGCACTGGTGTTCGACCTCGTAATTTTTTTTAAGAAAAAAAGTCTATTTGTCAAAACGAATTTTCCTATCTCGGTGGAAACTGAAAGCACTCATTTTCACCATCTGAATGTCCGCACTTGAGCTGTGCCACTAAGATTTTGCGCTGACACATTGATTGCTATGACATAAGTGTTCATCGTCTTCAAAGAAGTGTCGCTTATATTTTTGGTTGTCCCATGATTCCTTCATCATGTCGGCACTTTTGTTGATTTCGTTATTAGTCACTTGATGAAGTCAGTTAGTCAACAATATAATTACCTTCATGACTGTTAATATGCAATCGTTTGCTACTTTCGTCGTTGACTCTTTTATGTAAGGAGTAGATCACCGAAGAACTGGCTGAACGAAAAGGCACCGCGAAATTGACGAGGCTGAGAAGCCGAAGCACATGTATTCCACCGTATAAGCACTCATAATAGACCACATGCATGGCTCAGAACTAACTGTCAGGCATGTTGAAATTTGAGCGTGGTCTTAAGAAACACTTGAAACTAATGGTATATTTACACGTAACTGTCACAAAAAAATGAAAAGGAATCTTTTAGGCTGTGCGGGAAAACCCAACTTCGAATTCAAAGAGTCCATTTGAACGTGCGCAAAAGCTTTGATTCCAGCACAAAGATCCGTGAAAGTATCGTCTGAAAGGGAAGAACGACTATAGAGAATCGTCGACGGAATCAAACGGAAATCCTTCAAGAATGTAAGATTTTATGCAAGAACTTCTGTGAGAATATTCTTTCCTTACTCTGTCATAGTTAAATCAGGTTTGATACAGTCACAGCACTAGGTCTTAAGATGTAGATATATAGGTCAGGGAGAAAGACTATTTTAAAAGAAACCAACTAACATGAACCGACGTGCTTTTCTCACCTGCTAAGCAATCTTAATCACATAAGAGAATTGTAGTTATGTCGGGAATAAAATTTCAACTGAATTTCCTGACAAATCCACACCTGAATGTAAGCGGTTCAGTAAAAAAAAAAGATGCTAGACCGTTGAATCAAGCGTAAATACTGAGAATCTTGCGATCCAAGCTGGCATAAGTTTTGACTGATTAAATATCATACACAAGTCTTTCTTTGTCATCAAAAGAACTACTAGAAATTCAAAGAAGCCAAAAAAAACCTTTTCACAAAAATATTGCCAAATTTTCTCAATTTGTAAAAGAATTAGTGCCATTGTGGTTGTAGAGCAGATGCGGACAAAGTAATCCATCCTGAAAGCGACCACAAAGTGATGAACTCGTAATGACACCTCCAACTCTATCAAAGTGACGAAGAAACTTACCAGAAGGCGCCCTCTGAGAAAGCGAGACTATCAGCTCTCGATGTAGCTTCACTATGGCTATACCACTTTTCTGCTTATCTTTGAAGCACGGCTATGAGCTAATTATGCAGCTGCAGATAGCACAAAGGAAAATAAATATCACTTTATGAACTCACTTCTATTACAGCTAGCGTCCGTCATGCTTAAGTTGTGACTTTCCTTCCTGATATTGTACAAGATCTCCGCGTTCTTGGAGTTTCCGAACACGATCTAAGTTACCCACACAATATCTGATCTTCATGACTTATATAAAGATATAAAAGAGATAATATGAAATGCAGGAAAGCACCTGAAATTGGTCATACTGATGAGTAGAGCGTGCTGAGTGAAAGCAAACCCATGATTTGATGATGATGACTTGGATAGAGTTGGAGGTCCGATTGGAGCGAGAACAGTGTCATACTGAAGTCCTGATCATCAAACGATTATGTGAGAAAGCTACATCTAGCGAAACGAGCAAAGTTATCACTCATCATGTGTATTTGCTACGACTTACAGAATTTCCATGCGTTGCATGGCTCAAAGAAGCTCAGTGATTAATGTTCCAACTAGGTTTAGGAACTTAAAAGTATATCTGATGTCGTCATGCGAGGCAGTACTGTGGCGAAATCATGGATAGACCTACCGCGAAATTGAATAAATGCAATATATTTAGGTATATTTGAGCCCAATATTTTATGACTATAAAAGAAAATAACGGGAACAATTTTATTCAAAGTACTCTATCATCAAGCAGCAAAATAAATTTTGATTTTCTGGAGCCTCCTAGCGCGATCAAAAAAGGGTAGTCCTAAAGCGAAGTTGTCAACACTCTTCCGATGCTCGTATCTCAGTATCTAACTTTCGAGCTTATATTTGATTGGAAAATTAGAAATACAGTACCACTGATAAGGAATATTTGAATAGTACACCTGAGCGAATTGAGCGGCATGCAAAAGCACGACCTCACATGGGAGTGCAACCCGCGTTTCATCCATACAGGGGACGCGTACTATCACTACACCACAAAGGTGCATTTGCGCCACCAATCGTTCTTCAACATCTCTATGTTAGCTGTCAGCCACCAACCTTTGACAGGCTTGGTCGGGCATGCGATTTCGCTTCATAAACCAGCGAAAAATGCAGGAAAATATTATAAATTTTAAATTTTTATAGTAATACAAAATAGCAGAGATTTCTGGATGCTAATTATGGCGATGTGAAGTGCCGAAAATTCTAAAATGGACAGCTTTCACTAAGATATCAAGTAATCATTCGATAACTGAAAATATGCAATTCAAACACTAGGCTTATTTTCCGGAAGGGCTTTTTCGGTATACTGTAGCAACGGAGAAAAAATGGCGATTTGCCTAAAGAGTGTGTAGTGTGTTTCGCACTCCTCCTTGCCTAACTTTATCGCCGGGGAGATTGTTTTTACTAAAGTTCTAATATCATCTAGACATGCCTGATAATAATTTTTTTGAGCCGCGCATGTTATCTGTTATAGGGTAGCTCATAGAGTTAGCCACACGTGCTTTAACCTTGACAGTCTCATCAGTCGGGCAGTACTCTTTGTCTTTTGACAATCCTCTTGAGGGTGCTCCGATTCCTCATGCAATACGTAATGACAGGCCACGCGGATAACTGAACTGACCTAAAATATTAGGTGTTCTCCTAAGTTTTGGCTCTAGAGCAACTAGCAGAATTTATTGATCACAAGTAATTGGAACTGCTTAACAACACAAGTCACAGTATGGGCCATCACCCTGAACACATTACTGCCATCTCTTAAGCAAGAAATCAACCGCTATGTGCAGAATTTTCTGAGCTGTCTTTTGATATCAAAGTTTCCCACTCCTGCCTCATTATGGCCTCTCAAAGAAGCCTTAATAGCAACTGCACAGCGAGTACGATTTGGAACACGATTGCCTTCAAGAACATCAACCGCACAAAGGCTCATGGATGTGCGTTTAGGCGAAAAGCCTTTCGGTTCCTTGCTGAGTAAGCGCCGATAGCACCATGTTGAAAGATTGGCTGCGCTTTAGGCGTCTACGCAAATTTGATCGAGAGGTCGTGATCGGAGCAAGTGAACTTGACCCGACTTTGACTAACGGCGATTATGCCGACGACTTTGATTGTGGTCATGCGACAGTCAGCGTTTTATTGAAGGCGGCAGGTAGGAAGTGGAAGAAGTGTTGATGCACTACTTACGAACTCATCTAAGTATAGTTAGAATATCGCTCAGAAGCTGCTGCCTCGTCATATTCGCGTTCCATTTCTGGCCAAGCTTGTCACAGTCGCCGAAGAGCTGATTGTTTTTATCAAGAGTCGAGTCGTCTGAATCAGGATTGTCACCAAGCCAATGAGGTATTCCAGCTCCACGTCATAGTTGATTCGCAAAAGGCTGAGTTCGTCCTCTTTTTGGATGGGACAGGAACAATTTATTAGAACTTGTTGCCTGCCGGCGAGGTGATCAACGCTTAAGCGCTACGATGAGCACTTCTAGCCTTACTACGTCGACGTCGTCGCGATTTTACTGTGCTTCATGGCAACGCAAGGCAGCATGTCGCCGGAATGGCAGAGAGAAAGTTGAATGAATTGGGCTGGTAGTTTGTGAATCAGTTGTCTAACAGCTCTGACTTGTCGCCGTCTGACTGTCACCTCTTCTGGTCGCTGGAGGACTTCCTGAACAAAAAGAAGTTCCGAGACATCAATCATTCATGTCGGGGACTGACAACTTCCTTAAAATACAAGAATGACGATCTCTGTTATCGCGGTTGAATTGGTTGCGTGAGAGAGGGCAGAAATGTGCTCACGCTGATAGCACATACTTTAAATAGTGTTGTTAAGCATTTTGACTACGTCTGGTTAATAAATGTGATGCTTATTGCTCTACTGTCGGAACTTATAAAAAGGCCTAACAATGTTGTTCAATCACCTGTGCGCAGATGAATCGCTTTGGACTGACTGATGTTGACACGTAGATTGCGTGAATGTAGGAGGCTGACCAATGTTGATCTTTACACGTTCAAAGTACACACATCCGGCACCCGGGGATTGCTGCTATGTTACTCATTGTAGATGTAGCAGTTAATACGAAATAAAATAAGAACATCGAGCTAGTTTGTTGCTTGTGAGACTAAACAGTTAGTTCAAGTGACTCGTAATATCTAAAAGTTTATTCCTAGTAATTGCCCAACTGAAATATTATTCCAGAAAAAAATGATTTAAGCTCAAAATTGATGATTGAAATATTATTTGTATTCGAACGCGCGCCAGAATACGAGAATAGTGACCGATTATTAATCTCGTCTCGGTGTTTAATAATTATCTAATTTCAATCATCAATCACGTATTCTATGAACACCATTTATTTCCAATTGACACACTGCACTACATCGGTCGTTCAAGCATGTCCTCGTATCT